TGGCAGAGGAATTGCTCAAGCTTCAGAGGGAAAGATGTCATGAAGTTCATGACTGAAGATTCACCAGTTAGTAGCACTTACTAATTTTCAAGTAGCAAAACAGTTACATGCATTTGCTTGCTCTCACCACAGTGATTTGCAATTGTTCTTTTTGCTCTCAGATGATAGCAGCCTACTTTCACGTAGTTTAGATTTCGTTCACTTCACACTTCGCTTTTGGATGTGCATTGAAATGTTGATTTTGATTTTTTTTGTTCTGTGTCTTAGTTACCGGAAACAGCAGATATTTCTCCAGCATCTTGACTGTCAGTATGAGCTGTGTTCTACATATTTTTGCTACAATAATCTTAGGAGATCAATAAAATTTTTCTACTGGAGAGAATTGGCTCTTTGCTTACTCTGGCAGATCTGGAGCCTGAAAGAAAGATCATTTGTATTTTTTTGAAATTGTTTTTTAAGAGAAAGATGGTTTGTAAAAATTTGTTGGCTGAGTCACATTCCTTAGCATTTACTATTGAAAAAGAGAGAGACTATGTTACAGGGAAACCCAGGAGACCTGTAGGTCTCCCTGAGATTTGCAGAAGACAGTTTCTGCTTTTCCCAGAGCTATGTATATATTTTTTTCAATATGCAACATTTACTGTGTGGATGAGCAGGCAGATAGCATTGATTTTATGGAAGCTTTGCCATGGAGGAACTTGCTTTGGGACTTGACAAATTCATTCAAGTTTTTTGTTTGTTTGTTTGTTTGTTTTTTATTTTACTGCAAGAAGTAGTTTGTCATTTAATTGCAGTATTAATGATGAATTTCTGAAGTACTTAGGCTGGTGGGAATTAACATAGAGCAAAGCAAAACCACAGTTGAATCGATTCATGTGGAACAAAGTGAGAAATATTGCGGTTGCATAGATGCCAAGATATTACAGTTAAGCACCTTATTTTCAAATTGCCGTCATAAAGCTAATAGGATTTCTTCATTTGTCCTTCCTATTGTTCATTAATGTTTACTAATAATGGTTTCTGGGAATAAGGTGAAACCTGATTAGACTATAGCATTATTTTCAATCTAGTAACATTCTGATTGTTGTTGTTGTGCACGATTCAGTGTCTCAAAACAATAGGAAATTTTGGTTAATTGTCCAAATGCACCAAATGTGTTCTTAAATGAATGCTACGTATGTGCATAAAGGTCTGCAAATTGCATCATTAGGTTGCAATCTCCTTTAGCACACTCATACCACTATCTTGCTGCATGTCAGAATCCAGTGGTTTTTCCTACCATTAAAACATTCTTAAAAGTGTGCACAAATTCCCTTTAATAAAAAAAAAAGTAGAAGACATAAGATTTATACTGACAAGTACCATTTATAAAACTGAAAATAGATAAGTAACAGACCAAACACAGCATAGAAGCCATGTTTGTGTAGCATTTTTGTTTCATTATTGACTCCAGATACAATAAGACCCTGTCTCTTTCATTTTAAACACCTCTGCAGCCAGAGCTCTAGGCAGTTATGCAGAGCATATCGCCTTCCTTCAGATGGAACAATTCTCTGAGGGTGAAAATATCCTGTTTTCATGCTATCATTCAGGAGGTTACTGCCGTATATTTCCCAGGTATTTGATCATGATATCTTCTGGTGCTGTCTTACTGAAACTACCAGCTGGAAGATTAGGAAAGTAGGTGAAACCTTTGTGGGGGGTGGGGGAACAGACCTGAAAATGAAACCAAAACAAAAACTCCCAGTAAGAGGAGGAAGAGTTACAGGAAGGAAGGAATACACAACTATGATACTGGGCACTGAAAAGGACTCCCTAGGGCAGTGGTCACAGTACTAAGCTGCTAGAATTCAAGAAGCATTTGGCACTGGTCCCTGACATAGGCTTCAAATAATGGGTGGTCCTGTGTGGAACCAGGGATTGGATTTGGTGTTTTTTTTTTTTTTTTTTTTTTTTTTTTTTTTGTGGGTCTCTTCCAACTTTTGGCACATGTATAACAAGCTGTGCAAGGTGGGCAATACCAGGTTCCCAAATTTTCTTCAGGCTGACTTTCACCAGAAGAAGGATATGGGAGAAAACATTTGTACAAGTGGCAGTAAATGGATAAAACAAGTAATAAAGATTTGAGTAAATCTGGGGACTTCTTTTCAGAGTGGAAGATGCTTGAGTTCATTTTATGTGGAAAACTTAGTGGTGGCTCATAAGCAGCCTTCGTTCCAGGTTGCAGAGATGCTGTCCCTCAGGCACACTCTACTGGCCTGAGCTCCTCCTGAGAGCGTGTGCCCACAGTATTTTTTCCAAAAAAGGGAGAGAGAGCACAGATATGAGTATGACTCCCTTGTTTAGCAGCAAGGCAGACTGGTTATGGCGTGTGGCAAAGGCAGGCTTGTCTGGGGAACTGATCCTGTAGACTGTGGTTAGGCATCTTCCCCAGAACAGCAGCTGGAGGCAGGCATGCTAATGCATACAGTGGGTTACTGCCAGAGTAATTGTTTCATAGGCTGCCTAGTAACTAGTTACAAGAAGAGATTTCCTATTACTAAAACAGAAGGAGCTCTTTTCTGAGATCTATTTATAGGGATGCTTGTAGCATTTCTGCCATGCTTTCACAGGTGGCTTATTGATGTCTCATTTGGGTTTACTCATCTTCCTCCAGATCCATAGCAACAAACTGTGGAAAGGCAATTTCACATATGGTATGTGTGTGTTTCAGCAAGTGTCTGCCTCCATGTTACAGAAAAGGAAGCTTTGGGATACACCACAGGGTCTACAGTTCATCCTCATTTTGGTGCGCTGAGAGTTTTAGGCATTGGCTATCACAGAGCTGCAGTACTTAAGTGACATGAGCGAAAATGTGTCTCTCTTGTGGTAGTGTGCTGGAGAAGAGGAATCTTTGTTTATTCTTATTCCTGAGGTAACAGCTGAAGAGCAGCTACCTATTGGTCCTTAATGCCCAGAGCTTGTTCTAGTCTCTTCAGTGTGCTCTCAACTTCTCAATAAGTAATAAATAACTGCTATGTTGACATCTCTTTGAGCTGAGCCTGTAGCCCAATCTACATAGCTGTGCATGCACATCCCTGTATACAGTATTAATGCTTATATAATATAAGCATTAAGTGTTATGAGCGTCAGTAAGTCCCTGGGACTCACCAAGTGAAAATTTAAATCCAGTGGAATATGACCATAGAGTTTGCCCTGGGATACATACAAATAAATTGATTAATAGCAGAGCCATCATCTTCTATTTGCTTGATAAATAAGTTCAGCCTTTAACAGTCTGAGCGATTTCAAGATGTGCCATACTGCTTGTTAATGGAGCATTTTCTTTTTTGTTGCTATGAGTAAACACAAGTTGAATACAGAAAATTACTGCTGTGTTTGATAGCACCAAAGACTGTGCTAAAAATGTTTGGATTGACAGGTCCCAGCTGATGAGTTAACAGCTCCCAAGGAGACCCCAGTTGGTGCAAGCACAACTCTCACTGAGCAGAACAGTATCTCTGTCTCCACATTTTACTGATGCATGGGATGGAAGCCCTGTGTCATGCTCCCTAGCCATATCTGTGAGAGGAGGGGGCATCCTACTTGCTCAGCACACTGCTAAGGCTGGACTGGACACACACAACAGTGTGTATTTTCCCAGTGTTGCTTGGAAGCATCAGCCTGTATGGCTGAGACCTGTATGAAATACACATATACGGGCAGAGCACAAGATGAGGGAAGTCCAGAGGCAGAAGTTAAAGAGGAGTTGGTTGCGGCTGACTGATACACCAGAAGGGAAATCAAAGAGGGATTTGGGAGAGGCACAGAAGAGAGAAATGGAGAAGCAGGGAGATGGATGTGATATGTGAGGGGAGAAGAATGAGGAAAAAGTTTAAGAGAAAGGAAACTGGAGGAGAAACACAGGGAGACAGGAAGGAGAGATCATAGAAAAGAGTGATTAGATAGGAATGAACAGTAATGGGTAACAGCTGAGAAAAACAAGAGAAAGCTAAATGATTCTTTTTGTATCCTTGGGAAGACAGGAGAGAGAATTTATTTTTATTTAATATTTAAAGCACCAATTTTAATCAAAGCAATTATTTTATTCATTTATTTTAAGAAAGAGAGATCTCAAAGGGCTGCCTAGCACATAAAAGCATGTTTTTAGTTCTCAAAGATGCTAACTCCTCCTGAGATTTTTAGTTAACTTACTATTGGACTCATGGGCTGGCTCCTAGGAGCATCGTATTTACAATGTGTGGCTTCTGCTCATCTTTTTCTGCAGCAGAGATTAGCTCTGCAGGATTTTCTTCTAAGCAGTCATAGCTTTTTTTTTTTTTTTTTTTTTTCCTTTCTTTGACTGCAGGTTAGGTTTGTTTTTGTTCTTGTTTCGTTTTTAAGGAACTATGACATTGTTTGTATTTGTGATATTAAGAATAAATAGTCTGTGGATCCTCTAGAACCAGAAATCTACTGTGTTGTGATTGTGAGACATGACTTCACAGCTTGGTAATTCACTGTAGTTCTGTGTTCTCGTGCTTCTGTAGAAGCTTGGTAAACTGAAAACTTTTAAGCCTTCATTCAGTTAATGCACCTCAACAAAGCCCTGTAACATAAACTTTAAGAGCATGCTTCAATTTCTTTGAAGTCAGTGAAACCTAGAAAAACTCTGCTGAAAAGAGATAAAATATCTGTTTGGAAATAGAAGAGGTTGAATTAAGTAGGGATGTGAATAAAAAATTTTATGTGCAAATCATTGCATAGGTACTCTTATTTAGGAGAAAAATGGCTGGAATCAGTTTAGTATAATAGTAAAATCTAAGTTAACTTGAAACTCCCTCATACCAGAAAAAAAAGAACGATACGTGCAGTCCTTTACTCTGCTGTATTTCTCACCATTTCTTATTTTGATATGCTTATGTTCTATTCAGGCCTATTATAGTCTGTTGTGGGCACGCTATTCTCAGCAGTGCTGGCTTCTTACAGGTGGATGTAATATAGTTTTGTTCTCTTCACAGATGAACATGATTACAAACAGCAGGCATGCATCTCAGAGAAACCACACGGCATTGCCATGCTTCACTCTACTGGAGGTAAAACAAACTGTAGATAAATTGCTAAGTATTTAGGGTGTATTTTTGAAGGAAATGCTATTAGTAGCAATTGATTTATATTTATCAATGTATTTATGTTTATTTCAATATGGACTGTTATCTGTTAGTTGTCAATCTCTTTTTTTGCAGTTGTGAATAAAATTGTAGTCCCTGTAACTGTTTCTCAGTGCTTTCATGAGAGGCCATGTGAAAAGGGGTCTTTAACTCTACAATTTAATTTTACGTGGATTTAACTTTCTGAAGTTCCAGAATCCAACAGAGTGAAGTACCTCTGAGCTGGACTCTTATGGATATTGGTGGAAAGGGCTTGTTAATAATACTCAGTATGGAAGATGTTTCATTTATCAATCTTAAAGATGAGGAGCGGTAGAACAGAATGTTATAGTGGTTGTTCAAAGTCTTTCAGTCTGTAAGGAATGAGAGACTATAGCAGAAATGCTAAGTCACAACTTGAAGCAGTGATTGAGCACCTGGTGGGAAGGCAGGGCCAATCCAGGGGAGCTCAGGTGCATGTAATGCCCCTGAGTAACTAGAAGGGCTGAAGCCAGGATTCGCCCCTTTCCAGACCTCATTTAAGGACTGGCAATGGAGGTAAGGGCATCTTGCTGGACATCCTTGTGTATGTGAAGCCTTCTGAAGGTGAACAGCTTCTTTGTTTCTGTGCCTATGGCTATTGTGTTTGAGGAAGTCCTCTCTTGTTGCTGCCTAGGGCTTTGCTACTCTGCTGTCATTACTGTGCTTCCCATTGCATTGCAGTGTTACAGAGACGTTTGGGAATAATGCATATTGAGTATTGAGCTCCATTTGAAACACTTTCCTTTAATCTTGATCTTATTTTTGAGACTATTCTCAATTTAATTAATTAAAGCAGACACAGCTCCAATTACACCTGCCCTGCAGTGGAGCTGGAGCTGCAGCATGGCGTAGGTCTGTTGGGCACTCTTTGAGCCGCTTTAGGATGGATCACTCAGCCCCACCAAGAATTCAATAGAACTTGCCACGTGTGCGGTTTTTCAGAGTGGCTTCCATGACTGAATGACAACTGCTAACCAAACTGTGCTAAAACTAGCTTAGTTGGGTTAGATCCCGCAAAGATATGGATAAGGATGCTGCACAGCCATATCTGAGTGTGGCCGGGAGCACACTGCTTGCAAACATCTATGTGATGATGGCTGATATAGCCCTTCAGCCCCAGTGGAAAATCTTATGCAAGCATTTAGATGTGAGTTTCTTATTATACTGTAGTCACACAAGTTCTGTGATATGAGGTAAGGAGAAGGGTAGCAAGACATCTACAACTAGTTCTGGGAAGCCAGCACTGGTTACTGTGGGATGCCCTGATAATACACTTAGAGACATCTGGTAATCAGAGAAAGGATGATATCAATAACAATATAGCAACATGCTGTGGAAAAGTGAGAGGCGTAGAAATTGTGACTTAAGTTAAACTCATGAAATGTTGGATTATTTCTTTTTATCTGCACATTTTGGAAGTAGAAGTTGCTTCCATGTGAATAGGAAATTGCTTCATTGCATGGTATTATTTCTGTCACATCACTTCAGCTAATATTGTAGCTTGGCAATTTATGTTCACTCTTTTCAAGTAATGTTTGTGATCCACTGTGACACAAATCACTGTGGATCCACTGGCTTTTTTTGCCTGTGCTATGTCACACTGAGACAGCATCAGAGTGGATGATTTCTATATGAAATTTAACTGCATTAAAAGATCCAAAAACCTGATGTTGTCATGGTACTATTACATAAGTTTATGTCATAGAAGTCACTGGGAAGACAGTAAAGAACATCCAAATCTATAAATGGGTATCAAGGTGACATGATTTCCATTCTTGAATGTTGGAGGGAGCATTCAACCTTATTTATGTTCTGCTTCATCAGTTGTAAAGTCTAAAGAACTGTTCTATGCCCACTTCTGGTAAGATACACAGATAGAAGAGAAGAACAGGTATGCAGTAGCAGTACTTTATAATCATTTATTAGCATGGCTACCCAGGGTAGAAAAGGTGCTCCAGATATGTATCAGCTACAGTTTTTTCTTAAAGCATCTGGATAAGCTAAGTATGTAGTATCATCTGAGCACCTAAGTCAAGGCATTTGGGTGATGAGAAGGAAGGTCTGTGAGATGTCTTAGCTTTTCTTTTAAAGTCTCATGGTATGTTCTTTACTTCCATAGCAGAAGTTAGCCAAACCGCATGCATCAAAAACATAGTAAGAAAGCAATTGTAATTTGCTTATGTGGTAGCTGGAGAGCAAAACAAGTTGTTGAATGAGGATTCAAGTATCCACAACCATGCAACCAAATCCTCTCTGCTGATACAAGGGAACAGCAACCACCAGGTGCCAGTGGTAGTGACTGTCCTTTGGTGGTGATTGTCTTCTTGTGGAGACCTGATGTCTGTAATGTTTTTCTAAGAATGCAGGGGCGCATTAACAGCTAAGCTCTGTGTAACTTCCCAGCCTGTACTTCAAGAGTTTGTTTTGTGTGAGAAAAAGTAAAAATTACTTTTCCTGGAAAGCTGTTAGCCTTTATTTCTTAGGTATTTGAGCAGGTCTTAAGGGGATACCAAATATAACGCAAGACTATATGCAAATTCTATCTTGCTTTTCACTGGAACATCTGAAGTGCTGTTGCTCTCTGTGCCACTTGTGTCTTGGCAGCACACTCCCCTGAGCTCACTGGCAGTGACAGGGAGTTAGTCTCAGCTGCATGCTCTGCACAGTTTTGCCCATGCTCACCTCTCTGCCTGGCCAAGCCCTGGCTGAAGGCTAAGTGAAAGTCAGTACCTCAGCCCTAAAAGACTTGAAGATGCTGGCTGGAAACAGCAGCAGGGAATATTTACATTACATGTTAGCCAGGTTCTCTTTGCAGAGAACATGACTTTTTCATGAGCAGCCTGCAGGTTAGAAGGAAAAGAAAAGGTGAAGATCAGAGTGATTAACATTAGAGGAATGCCAGGTGTAGTGTTTCTCTTGCAACAAAGAAGACTAAGTTTTTTTACACTTAGAGCTTGCTCTCAATCACTGGCTCAACTCTGCTAAGCAGCTGCATTTCGACAGATTTCAATAGTTGATAGTTAGCAGACTAACAGATGATATTGTACTTGTTAGAGCTAGTTTCTATTCACTTGGTCTTTGTAGCAAAGGTTACTTCATAGTAGATTTTTTCCCCTAACTTGTTTCTAACTTATTTCTAACCTAATGAGAAAAAAGATCTAAAGATGTACAGAAACTTCCAGTAGTATGAAAAGCAGTCTCAACAGACTTCATTCTTCTGGTGATATTAAGCTCTACACCTTTCAAAATGTTAGCTTTTCTCTGCAGAGCAGTCTCATAAGCTACTGCTGTCAACTGTTCAGAAAACATCTGTCCTCTTCAACTCACAAATTTATTGAGAACGTGCACCTGGGTATTCTGTCATCTTTTCCAGATACCTTCATTAGCACTATTCAAAGCAATGAGCCCTGCTTTTATTGCTTGATCCTAGTGGATGGGATTTGGAGTCTCAATCCAACTACCTAAGCTGGAGGAAAAAATATACATTCTGTAAGACTTTGAAAGCTCAAAAGCTGAATGTGTATGGCAGAACCCGAGCTGTGTAAACATTTGTTATTTCCTGTTATTGTCAAGAGCTTCTGCTAGTTTAAGGCATTATTTATGCAGTCTCTCTTGTTCTTATTTTTTTCTATCAGATGTTGAATTCCTATGATGTTGCTTCATTATTTTTTTCTTTCTAGCAATTTTCCCATTTAAAAAAGCATCAGATTTTGAAAATAATCTCCTCAAATCCTTGCAGTATCGAAAGTTAGTTTCCCATGCAATACCAATTGATGACAGACTATAAATGTAGATTCTTAAGGCCAGTTACTGCCCAAGAGCACTCACTTTTCAATTTTACTTTGAGACCAGGTTTTTTTTTCCTTCTTAAAAGACTTAGTAACACCAGATTCAAACTTCTGCTGTTCTTGTAAACCTCTGTGGTTTTAGATTTAGGTATTCTATGAAAAACATTAAGTGGTGCTATTTAAACAGAATCGCACAATATGACAATTGATATTATCTTTTGTTTTCTTTTTCCACCTCCAGTTATGCATATAAATGTACCCTGTAGATGTAAATTTTAAGAGATGTTATTCTTTCATCCTGTATTCACCTCTAGAAATTACCAAAATTGCCTTTTTGAACACAGGGGTTAGAATGTCTCTAATTCTGGAAGTGGGCAGATCCTTTAATGTATGCATCTGTGAGACTGTTACTGATGTCTGTACTTCAGATAGCAGAGCTGCATTCATAAACTACCACTCTAAATTTTGTGAAGAACTTACCTTATTGCATAATGGACTTCCACATTCTTAGCATGCAGCCCTGAACTGTGCTTAGCTATACTGACAGGTTTTGTGGCTTTGTCTTTTTTTTCAGTCTTTACTGGGGAAGTGGCAATACAGCAGTGTTTGGGGTTTTTTCTGTGGCTTTTTTTTTAATGCTTCTGAAATGATCCTGGCAGACATTTTTCTTTGTCTTGGTTATGCACTCTGCAGGGCTCTTTATGCAATTTATTCCCCATTGAACTGTGAGATTTCTCATAGCTGAGAATAAAGATGACTCAGACAATTTATGGCTGATTCAACAGTAGGAGGTCAATCTGAGTTTCTCCTTTACCCTTTGGGTTCTAAGGATTTATTTTCTGCCTAAGAGGAGCATTATGTATCATATCTCTCTTGTGTAATTTTCACAGTCTACAAATTTCTTCTTTCTTCTCCTGGCTTCCAATACCTAAGTAGCTTGTCAACAGTCTTAAAAGTTACAGCCAGTAAAATACTTAGCGAAAGATGCAGAAAATAGTTGCATATGAATAGGTAAACTGCAGTTGTATGTATTTGTGGTGATGCTGAAATGCCACAAAAGAAAGAAGTAAAAAGCATTTCACATCTTCCATTGAAGTACAGGCTTAAGAGCCATCA